CTTCCAAATCCTCGCAGAAGGAAAGTTTCTCAGGGAGATCCTTGGTTTTGTGTCAGCCTTCTTCCAGAATTCTCTGTAGAGATGAATGCTGGTTCTCAAGGCTGCATCAGAATCCCCTGAGAGCTAACATACAGACTGACGTAGTCGTTCTGGAGTGGGGCCCGAGCATCTGTATTTCTTTTTTCCTTTTGGTCTTACTGCAATGTCTTTGATATGAGTACTGTGTAAGTTTAAGGTGTACAGCATAATGACCTTACATATATTGAGAATCTGCATTTCTAGCAAAGGTCTGTGATGCCACCACATGGGGATTACACTTTGGGTTGGCCTGTGTGGGAGGGTCAGTAAGAGTTAATTTCTCACTGACTGGGTATTTCCTTCGCATGGTGTTTACTTCGTTTTTGCTCTATGCAGTTCTGCCTGCTCCCTCCCAACCCTCTGTGTTCCCCATCTCCTGCCCTCCCCCACTACTTCCCCCCACACAGACACCTTATTGGAACCCCAGGACCTGAAAGTGTAGGCTTCCTGTCAGAGCTCCTCTCACTCCAGGCCTGCATTTCCATTTGCATGGAAGCAGAAGTGACCTAGAGGACATAGATGGCCTCTGAGCTCACATTGGTGGATCAGTTGGATCCAGCCACTCAGGCAGAACCGGGCTGTTCCGGATTTCAGGCAGAGCCTGGTGGCTTCCTTCCAGTTTCCTTCTCCTTGTAGAATTCAAGAGTGTAGAATATGGAGGCCCCCACCCCCCACCCCCCATCCCTTTGCACAGCAAAGGGCAGTGAGTGCTTACAAACTCCTGCCCTGTGCAGTGAACTTTTTAGTCTGAGGTGGGAGTTCAGCCGTGCATCCTGCCAGAGAGGGAAGGTGGAGGTGAAGGTTTAAGGAGAGAGCTCCTTTCCCTGCCTAGAAAAAGGCAGAAACGCGAGGCCAGGTGCCGAGCAGTCTGGAAGGGCAGAAGTGACTCCGAGTATGATTGTGACAAGTCAGAGAAATGTGATTGAGGGAGTGCATCTGTTCTCCCAAGCCCTGTGCCAGGGTGGCAGATTTTGTCCAGAAGAAACTGAGCAGCATTTAGAAGCTGGATTCACTTTTCTCTACCACTGTGATCTTGGGGGCAGGTTGCTTAACCCCCTGCACCTTAGTTTCCTCATCTGCACAGTGGGACCAGTGCTCCTCGGGTGTGGCTAGGAGGATTCAGTGAGATACTGTACTTAACATGTGCCAAGTGACAGTCAAAATTCAGTAGCCGCCATCGACATCATTAGTTGTGTTAGTCCTAATATTGCAGAGTCAGAGTTTTGTAACCGAGAGCTTCAGGAATTCTCAGTGGGAACGACGGAGGCTTTGTGTGCAGAGTGGCCCCTGAGGGATCTCACTACTTCCTGTCGTCTTGAGGGGGTGAAAGGGGGTGGGGGGGATGATTTGGAGGCAGACCTTGGAAGGCAGCCCAATGGGAGGGCCCACATACCTGGTCTTAGCCGTCCCTCCTCACGCTGCGGGGAGGATGCAGAACTGACCAGAGCAGCTTACGGTGCCCAGGTCGGCCCAGCCTGCTTGAGTGTTCCATGGGACACTCCAAGGCCTCGTTCGACCAAAGCCCATGCCAGTGAGGGGGTAATGGTGACTTGCCTGGGTTGCTGCCCCGTGCAAGGCATAGACTGAGCCCATCGCCAGGAAACACATCAGCTTCCTGGAGCTCAGAACACCATCACAGCTGTCAGCCTTCACAGGAGGCCATCCTGGTTAGAGGAAACGGGTTTGCCCCGAGCTTTGCAGGCCAGGGAGAACGGGCGTCGCCATGGTGCGACATCTCATCTGGTTCCTTTTGTCCCCAGCCTAGCTAAGACTGAGGGAAGAGTGTTTTCCTTTCTGACTTAGCCCATTCTAAGAGAGACGTCCTTGCTACTTGTAAAGCTCCCTAGGAGCTAGAGCACTTTAGTCGCTGAACTCCTCTTAACTCAGACTCTTTGAGCCTGTCCTGGGTTGGCCCGAACAGGCCAGCTAGACTGTTCACTAGGCGGTTCCAATCAGCGGGTCAACCATCCCAAGTATTTGTGGACGTCTGTTAGGCTCAGCAGCGTGGCTCTCCCGGGCCCCGTGTTGTAAATTTCCCTATTATAGCATCCGCGGGCCTCTACTGTCATCCTAGGCATCTAACTTACCCCCATCTGTCCTGCAGGCCTTTAGGACAGATTTTAGATTTCACTGAAGAATCCTTTGGGCTTTCAGAAGCTGAGAAGCTTTGTTTCTAGACCATCTTCCTTTTTATCTTTCATCTCCCCTTTGCTATCTCGTTGGACCTGGAGACAGGCTCCTTAATCTTTTCTTTCTGGCTTTACATAGCATTGTCCCTTATCTCCTCAGGGGCCAGGGGCTGGAGGCCGGCCTTCCCTGCCCCCTCATCCTCACAGATGGACCTCTGCCCTCTCCAGTCATCCTGCTTCCATTGGATCTGGGCAGAGCCTGTGTGGGAATGCAAACTCCGAAGTTCAGCATCCTCCCAGGGGGAGTCCTAAGACCCACCCCTCCAAATTCCCAGGCTGTGCTTCTCACATTGCCCTGCAGGAGTCACCTTCCAGGACACAGCCTCTCCTGATCTGGTCTTTTTTTCCCCCTTTTTCCTTCTTCTTCTCTCTGCCCCACCCCCCTGAGGCAATGGTGATAGGGGTGAGGGGTATCTTGAATTTTCTGCCAAGGACTACGCTGTACTTTTCCACTTGCTGAGTTCTAGGAATCCCTCAGACCTGGTAGAACCCCAAACAGACAGGGTGGTGACTCTTGTTACTCAGCTTTAATTGCAGGGCATCCTCAACATTCAAATCCTTTCCATCCAAGATCAGAAGATGGAAGTTTCAGGGTCAAGTGTGTTGGGTTGGCGCTCTCCCACTCTGGTTACCGGTGTGTACTGAGGAGATTGATTACTTGGTGGACTTTTTAAATAAGGGGAGGGAACAAGTTCAAGTGTTAATGAGAGTCTTAGTTATTATATTCTGGAAAGTTTAAATTCCAGAGACTCACCTCTCTGATGTGTGTTTTTAATAATTATATATAGAACTATAAGTCACCCTACTTATTTGGAGATTGTGGTAGTTTCTAGAAAACAATGGAGCTGTCCCTCTCCAGACTTTCTGCCTATTACGATTTGCTGTGAGGGGTACCTGGGTGGCTCACTCGGGTAAGCGTCTGACTTTGGCTCAGCCAGTCATGATTTCAGGGTCCTGGGATCTGGCCCCTTGTTGGGCTCCCTGCTCAGCGGGGAGTCTGCTTCTCCCTCTCCTTCCGCCCCTCCCCCCACTCATGTTCTTTCTTTCTTGCTCTCCCTCTCTCAAATAAATAAAATCTTTTAAAAAATTGTTTAAAATTTGCTGTGAATTAAGAAATGAATAATAACAGAGGGAAATCTGGCTTGTTTTTTGTGGGTTTTTTTTTTTTTTTTTTTTCCTTCCACAGTGTTTCACTTCACCCTAGGCATCTTTAAGTTTGGGTGGGGATGATCTGAAAGGATGTTTTGTGCATTTCTAAAACCTCATGGGACTTTTAATAAGCTTGACTTGATTCATAGTTTAAAGGAAGGTGGGTTATATGTCAAATAAAAACAGGATTCTTATCCTGCTTACCCCCAGGATGAGTTTCTGGGGTCCCTGAAGTCTTGATGCTGAAGGGAAATGTTGGGGGTAGGTAGCGTATGTGCATTTTCCTGTGGAACGGTCCATAATTTTTTTTTTTTTTTTTTTTATCAGACCCTTAAGGAGGTTCTTGCCCATACCAAACCGTTGAGAATTACTGGGGTAGTAACAAGGATTCCTCAAGGCTTACAAGGTCTCGGTCCCATCCGGGGGCTATCCCTATGAGTCACTCCTTGTTTCTTGGCTCAAAATCCAAAGAACCTTGCAAAAGGAGAAGGGGCAGAAGAGAAAAGATGGAGAATTGAGACAATGAGGTGTAGAGTGTTCACATGTCAGAAATCTCCGTTGGTGGCACTTTCTCCCCGCAACTGACCAGTCCAGCAGGGGGCTTGCCTGCCCGAGGTGCTCCGGAACCCGGCGCCGACAAAGCTGAGTAACATTCAAGATGATAACTGGGCGTGTGACCTGATTGAGCAGCTTTCCTCCAGACGCTCCGAAAGGGGATAAAAATGAGAAAATGGGCCAAGCCAAGTGTTTCTCGAGACAGGCTTTGTCTGTGTGGCGGTTTGATTTACGTCCTCCGGTCTCCCACTTGGGCACTCCTCAGTTCAGGGGGATGGCGTTTTCAGAAACAGAGAATGTGGCTGAACACTGCAGCTCTGGGAAAGGCTGGGGAAAGCTGCATTCCAGGGCGGCCAGCTTTCTCCCAGGGCAGGCATTGGAGACCCCTGGCCCCCCCAGAGCAGACTTGCTCCAACTCTTGGTGGGGGGGCATGTGTCACTTGAGAAGTTTTCTGTATCCTCCCTACAGTAAAGGAGAAGATGCGCGCTTGGTCCTCTCTGAACGGTCGTGGGCACTTCCCCTGTCACTCGGGAGAAGGTCTACTCAACTGTCCTTCACATTAAGGGACTGTTTGGTTCCATGTTGTTCACTCTCTCCAACTGTCTCCTTTCCCCTCCCTTGCTGATAGCACTTAGTGCTGTCTTCTTCTTGGCTGCCCTTGAAACCGGAAGTGCATCAGCAGCTGCTGGTAACATGCCCTGAGATGCCCAGAGCTCCGCCTGGGGCCAGCGGTCCGAGCTGCTCTCATGCGGTGTGGTGCCCAGTGCACCCCACACGTGGGGCGTGCTTCAGGGGGTTCCTGTCTGTCCGAGGCACACTGGACTCCGGTGGCCCTGGCTCACATGCTGATGAGTGGCTCTGGGAGGAATCTGCCTGGGAGCTGGAAGCTTGCTTATGCACGCGGGTGGGGATGGGAAACGTTCCGTTGTCCTTGTGACTCCCGGTGTTAAGTGGAGAAAAAGATACAGAGGACGGGATCATTTCTGGTCTTGACTCTCCCTTCACGTCACCTTTTCTCATTTGCGCAGGTTGCTTCAGCTCTGTGCTCCAGAGGTGGTAGCTTTGACGTGTGACCCTGCCCACGTCTGGGCTCCAGCCGCGCCAGCCCCTCAGTAAGGAGGGCCAGCTTGATAAGACGACGAAAACAGGTCAGTTAAACTTGATTGACTTTCCTGGAGTCACAATAACTTGGAGTGTTGAGTCTTCCTTTCCCTTCCCCTCCCTTCCCCACATTCCCTATGAAGTTGCCCTTTTTCTTCCCCCTGATCCTCCTGAGGCTTTGATGCAAAACCACAGTGAAATTGTAGCCCTGAATTGCTAGCCCTTCCTGATCCAGCGGGTCTGAAGTGTGGGATGAGGAATCGCAAAGAGGGTCGAGTGTTGGTTTCACAGGAAGCAGTGTTTCAGACACCCCTGTTCCCTGCTCCGCCTCACCCCTCCCCCTCTCCGCCAAATTCAGACTGTTTGTGTTAAAAACTGGAACTCCAGGCAAGTCCACTTGGCCATGTCAATGAAGATGACGACTTCTTTTCTTATCCATGATTTGGGAACTTAACCTGGGCTCCCAGCCCTCTCTGGTTCCAGTTGGAGTACACTGTATTAGAATGGGGCCAGTGATTTTAATTTTGTTTATTGTCATCATTTTATTGTTGTTGTTATTTGCTATCCCCCAGTAGTGGGGCTGATGTGTAGGATGGTATCAGGGAGCAAAGGAAAGAACGAAGATACCAAGACTATTAATATCCATAAAGAAAAATATGTTTTGTAAATGGACCTTAAGCTGTGCAACTTCTCTATCATCCCTGAGGTCAAACCTCAGAAGTTTTAGGTTGGTTAGTTTGGCTTATTGCCCCGGTATAGTCCAGCGTAGATAGAATTAACTAATACTGGCCAACCGGCCTCTGGTTAAATTAGTGCACAGATGTGCCTTAATGCTAAGGTGGATTTTTTTTTTCCCCATAACCTGGAACAATGAGCTACCTTTTTTTTTTTAAAAAAAAAAAAAAGAGATTTATTTATTTATTTATTTATTTATTTATTTATTTATTTGACAGAGACACAGCGAGAGAGGGAACACAAGCAGGGGGAGTGGGAGAGGGAGAAGCAGGCTTCCCGCTGAGCAGGGAGCCCCATGCAGGGGCTCGATCCCAGGACCCCGGGATCATGACCTGACCATGACGCTTAACGACTGAGCCACCCAGGCGCCCCAACAATGAGCTACCTTATTTTATACCGGGTCCTTTCCCTTCTTCCCTGTTACATCCTCCCAGAGGGAGAAAGAACTCAAGTATAAGATGCAAGAGCAAACAGGAGTAAAAACCTTTAGCTCCTTGGGGCTGGCGTGGGTTGCTTCTGAAACAGCTTTTCAGGGATGCGTCTAATAACTGTGCTCTTCTTTTCAGTGTAGTCGGCGGGTTCTTTTTGCTAACTGCACTTTCTGATCAGAGATGAAAAGTCTCTATTAAAAAAATATATTGCTACTTACATGTATACAAGGTAAAGGAAGTAAATGTCCATGATCTTGGTAGTGTCATGCTTTACACTTCCATCCCCAAGGAGGAAGTAAATGTAGCAAATGTTTTCCTGTCCAGACAAAATGGGAAACAACAAGTTTGCATGGCTTTTCTTCTTTTCCAACTGGGATAAGCCTTTGCAACGTTCAGCCCTTATGTTGTTTAGTACCAGGGCTATGGTTAGGTATTGTGTATTGAAGACACTTGGGTGTTTGCAAGAATCTGTTTGATGTTACAATGACGGTAAAGAAAATTCTTACTAGTAATGTGGCTCTGTTACATGAATATATTTTTTGATTTTATATTTATAATTTTAATTTTCATGTTGACTATGTCTTCGCTGTCCATTTTCTTTCCTTACTCAATGATAGAATTAGAATATAATTTTTACAACTTACAATTTTACATTTCGTCCTAGAGGTGTTTAACCTATTCCCAGATTTCAGTAAACTACCACATTTTTCTTTCCTAAGTGTAGTATGAGGACAAAAGCAAGATTATCTTCTAAAGTCTTCCTGTAAACCGCTAGAAAGGTTAACTTTCTTTTTACTGACATAACGTAATTACAATAAAGAATTATGGTCAGCTATTTTATAATTTTTTTTTTTTTTTTTAAGATTTTATTTATTTATTTGACAGAGAGAGACACAGCGAGAGAGGGAACACAAGCAGGGGGAGTGGGAGGGGGAGAAGCAGGCTTCCCGCCGAGCAGGGAGCCCGACGCGGGACTCGATCCCGGGACTCCAGGATCACGACCTGAGCCGAAGGCAGTCGCTTAACCAACTGAGCCACCCAGGCGCCCTGAGGCACATTTTTTAATGGCCTCCTTGCATGGCGACACCTCACAGGGCAGCAGTTTGGTTTTTTCTTTAATTTTGGATGTAGCTCTTCGCCCTTCGTGGGAAAGGTGTGTGGGGTTCGGCTCGGTCAGGTTATCTTCAGTTGCATGTTTCGGCAGCTAGTCCTTTTACTTACCATTTGGAAACCCGTTACCACCCTGTCTTCAAAATGTCTGTCCACAAGGGAGGCACATTTTGTCTCTTGGCTAGAGAAGTACTGTTCCTGAGACTCTCTTTGGCTCTTCTGGTAAGATTTCAGCTTGAGACTTCTCAGCTGACGGCAGCATCACTTAATAAAGTTGTATCCCCAGGTTCTTCCCACTGTGTTGCTGGACACATTTGTAGCTGCTCTGGGTGTTACCATTTGTCATATCCTAGGTCACATCCCCTTGAAGTTGGAGGAGGAAACCACAAGAAATCATGTTCTTTCTGGTGGTGTTTCTAAGCCTTCACTTGGCTGCTGAGATAAGGAGCTTGATCTTTGACTACAAGTCCAATTGAGGCATGCTGTGGGATAACAGGATATGTGGCTTACAGGCGGGGCTCTGGCTCTGGAATATCTTCCCAGATCAAATGAGGGAAGTAGTTTAACCTGCAGACTTATTTCTGGCCATACCTATAGCCGTGGTCAGGTATGGAACTAGAAAAGGCTACATGTCCATGAGCCGTGGGTGTTCCATTTGGTCATTCTGTTCATGTCACCAGGTTTCTTTTTAGGTCTGACCTAATACCTTCTAGACCATGAGACTTCCGTGAGTTCCTTTCCTGCCTTATCTTCGGTCAGTTTTAGGTAGAGGCGGGAAGGGGGGTCAAGTGGGAGTCTTGATTGCTTGTGGGGGGCTGGGGTGTAGGGTATGAAGGAAAATTCAGTGTGGGTGAGCCCCAGAAAGTAAAATACCACAAAATCGTTTTGGCTGTTGGGAGTGAGGGTGACAGCCTGTAGGGAACATCAGTTAAAGGTTGAAAAAACAACCACAGAATGTGGTTTTGGAAGGATGACCTAAAATCGCCTCCCTTTTGCGTATTCTCCTGAATAGAGTGGCCTGAGATTACGACAAATACATGGTTTCAGTTTTTTCTTCCCGAAGTGAAAAGACATTCACTGAATCTTTTTGCCTTTGCTTCCCTTCCAGTGTCAACAAGTGATACAAGAGAAGAAAAAAAAAGAAGCGAACGCAGACTCCTTTCCTACTCCACGTGGATGATAGCTATAGCAGGGGAAAGTCTCATAGTGTATCAGTTGGGGCAGAAAATGGAGGTAATCGGCAGTCGGGGCTGGGTTCTTCTGTCCACTTTCTGGGGTATAGGTGCATTACCTACTTGTATATTTTAAGCAACAGTCTTTTTTTATGTTGATTTGAAATTTGGTTATAAATCTGATAGGATTGGCTTCTCAGTTGTCTTCTACAGTTTGGGCTCTGGGCTCCCCTGTAAAATCACCGTATTGTAAGCAGTGGAGTTAAGTGAGACCCGATGATCCTCCTTAGTTGTTAAGTCTAGAACATTCATACAGTAGTAAATGAGTTAGGGTTATGAGGAGGGGGCTGGCCAAACGTCAGCTCCCTGGGTTTTCCTAATTGTTGGCTTAGCCTCTCCCGCTCTGCCTAACGAGAGAATAGGAAAAGCCGAGAGACCTGCGTCTGCTGGTTTCGGGGGTTGTGTCGGTGCATCCGCTCAGAAAGGAAGCGAGGTTATCAGTCTCTGGCATGACAATGCCTCATTCGCATGAAAGCTTAAGTCATTTTGGGCACGAGCATCAGCTTGAACCGAAGAAGGAGGGTTTTAGGTGTTTTGACCTGACTCACGGTTATGGTAGCCATGGCCAGTGCCCCTTGGCTCTGACAGACGCTAAACCTCACAGTGACCAACGCAGCGATTTCCGATTTTCAGTTCTATGACAGAGGCTTCTTAGAAGCTTAAACCTTTGACCCAATGACGTCAAGTTCGCCCATTGGCTTGGAAGGTTCAGACTTGTCTTCCGTCAACACCATGATGTCAGCGGTAATGAGTGTAGGGAAGGTCGCCGAGAATGGCGGGAGCCCCCAGAGCACCAAGTCCCCCACGAAGCCTCCAGGACCAAATCGGATTGGCAGAAGGAACCAGGTAAGCTTTTGTGTACTAGCTGGTGACATCTGGTGGCTTCAGTCTATGAGAACGGTGGGAGAAGGATGTTCGCTTGAGCCCCAGCTTCCTAGGCGAAAACCTTGGACGTGTTCAGAACTAAACACATACCGAGAAGCTTCAAGAGTGAACTTTTCAGGGCTTATGTCCGTTTCCTTTCATGGAGAAAATTTTCTCCGCTGTGGTGTCAGTATTGGTGGAAGCATCCTTATTCTCTGCCCTGTAGTTTGATTCGATTGCAAGCTTTCTTCACGTGATGGCCAAGACAAAGAACTTGACTTACTCCTCTACTGTGATGTGGTTCGTTTCTTTACACAGCTGGTTAATTGGGTTTTCGAAGCCGCCTCCTTGATTTTTTTTTTTTTTTTTAACTGTCTTCAGATTAGGTAGCAAATTAAGTACTAGTTTTGCTGGATCTCCCATCCACTTTCCATCCTTGACAAAGCACAGAATGTGGTTCCAGAAAATTCCACTTGAGATGTGATTTAGTCCTTTTGAATTTTTAGTGGGCATCGGATCAGGAGGAGTGGGAAAGAGGAAGTGGGTGGGCCAGGATTGGAAGGACTAATTAATGTCTTAACAAAAGTCCGAGTCTCCTCCATTCGGAAGTAAGATGGATCTTTTGATTAACGTACCCTTGGGGCACGTGAAAAGTTGTCGCTCTTCTGTTAGCAACACATTCAGCGAAACTCGAGGAGTAAGGCAGAAGGTGAGTAGTTCTCATTTCTTCTCTGAATCTATGTAATCCCAACTGATGACTCCACATTGAATTTTTGGTTGAACTTAATGGGTTTATACCAAATCCTCGGGGGAAGAGGCAGTCTTCTGAGTTAATCTCCATTATCAGGGATGGACCAGAAAGTAAACCTGTTGGGCTTTTGTGAATTCATTTTCTATTTTGTTAATAATCCTCCAGTGACTGTCCTTAGACAGAATTGTCTGAGCACCATCTATGATGGTTTTCTATAAACTCTTAGAATGTTAATCAAGGCTTTTGACACAACCTGTCTTCCAGGAAAAGTCATACCAGCCTAAAATTCCTCCTGCAGCGTAGGAGAAGGGTCCATTCGCTCACGTCTTCCCCACGGCTGAAGACTTGGCAGGGTTCAGTGATAACGTAGGGTCAGAGCATTGATACCTTTTTCTCTCTTTTTTCCCTTGTCTCTGCCTGCCTCCCTTCCTATGGGTACCTGAGAAAATACTCAGCCTGTATGACTGTGGCCTGAGTCAAGAAGGAGCGCTAGCTCTGGGAAGAAAAGGTTTATTTCCACTCTCATGTGACTGTCCGTCCATCCATCTATCTGTCCATCTTTCCATCCACCCACCCATTTCACAAATATATACTTCTGGCCAGGTACTGCTCCAGGTGCCAGGCATTTTGGGATGAACAAGATACATAAGGTCACTGTCTCCTCATCCTTCTGTGTTTGACCAAGAGAAAGTGGCGTGGGTAGTGACGAGCCCAGAGTTTCCCCGGCATAGGTTGGGTTGACCCAGGTCCAGGCTCTGGTCCCTTCCCGGTGGTTCAGAGACCGTGGGGAGAACCATAGAGCATGACCAGTAGCACCTCCTTCCCTGCATGGTGAGTGGAGGGGACTCTGCGGGCAAACGGTACAAGTGTACCTGAGCCTTTCTCATCTACTTCCCATGTCCTCCCGGGTTCCTCAGGGCACTGGCTTAGTGTCGGACAGGGAGGTCTGGGCCACAGGGACTGTAGGAAGACTGTGCATTAAAGACACCAGAGCACAGCTGCGGAGAGGGAATGCATCATCCTTACCTGTGAGCGGACGGGGAAGGCTGAGAGCAGGAGCCTGGAGAGCGAAGTCCCATCAGCGCTAGCACCGAGTTCCAGGACAGATTAGCCACAGCAGGATGCCGACAAGGGTGCCAGATTGTTTCATTATGGAATGGTTAGTTATCACATTAGCTGCTAATTTTATCTGTCAGCTCAGGAAGTCTGCTCCTTCCACCGGCTCAGCTGCAAGAACTGGATTCACAGTTCTCCGGCAGGGCTGTTCTCTTTTCTCTTGGGCTGGTTTGCAAAAATTAAATCTGAGTCCAGAGATTTATTTCTCCCAGACTGCTGTGGATTCTGTAGATCTGCTTCAGGGTCTGCTGCCTGCCACTGCCAAGCCTCAGAGAAGGTTTGGGTTCCGGTTTGTGATAAACACTGGACTCAGTGCCAGAGAGTCCAGGGAGCTACTCAGTATGTCTAGTATCTACCTCGAAGTGAATGCAAAATGGTTGTTTGTTGTTGTTGTTGTTTTTAGGATTTTATTTATTTATATGAGGTAGCATGACAGGGGAGCGGGGAGCGGCAGGAAGAGGGAGAAGCAGAAGACTCCCCGCTGAGCAGGGAGCCCAATGTGGGGCTTGATCCCAGGACCCTGGGATCATGACCTGAGCCGAAGGCAGATGCTTAACCGACTGAGCCACCCAGGTGTCCCCGCAAGATGGTTTTTTAAAAAATCTGCTGCCTCAGGAGGCTGGCCACACGGATGCCTGGCTTTTTAACATTTATTGACATCTTACCAGTGAATTTTTCTTTAAAAAATCTTTTTTAATGTATTTTATTACTAATCTAATAATTGAACAAAAATACCCCAGAGACTGAGTTTTGGCCCCGCTACGAGACCTCCCTCGTTATTATAGTGAGTACTCTTATTTTTGTTGTGAATACTTCTGTTTCTGGTGTTTCTGTTTGGTGCTTCTTGGCCAGCTCCATTCTGATGGGAGTTGGACGGACCGAGGACGAGTGACTTCACGCACCTCACGCCCCTGGGAGGACGGAAGGGCATGGGTGACTGGATGAGACTGTGGCGGCGCTTTTCCACTGTCTCTGGGTTAATCAACTTCCTTAGACCTCATACCTGTCTTTTTTTTTTTTTTAATTTGAGAGCGAAAACACGTGTAGTGTACCTCATCCTCGGCCCCAATGCCACCCATGAGAAAAGCATTTGTAGCGCTTAAAATGAGGCCTGTTAGACTTCACCGAGGAGATGCCATCCTAGACATCCTCATGCATCCACTCCACCCCGTCTGCCGTATGGTGCCATTTGTTTTTATAGTCTTCAGGGTGACTAGTATTTTCATCATGTCTCATGAGCCAGCCACGAGGGTGTTTCCTGTCTGTGCCTTGGGGTTCATCCTTTTTTGTGTTCAGACTTCCAGAGCATAGGCCTATATGGCACAGCTGGCCTGAGTTGGACTCCTGGGTCTGCTACTTCACGGTTCTCTCCTTTGGGACACGTTGCTTGCCTCTCTGTACCTGTTTCCTCATCCAGAAAATGGGATCTGTAATAGTGGTTGTGAAAAACCTGACATTTCCACGGGTCGAGTTGAGCACATAGTTAAGTGTTCAAGGATGGGTTTTATTGGCAAAGAACAAAAACTCATTCAAATGAGTAAAGTAAAAAGAGGTCTGTTGAAGGAAGCCTAAGGGTCCAGCCTTAGAGATGGTGCCATCCCCTCTCTCCGGCTCCCTGGTCTCGCACTTCCCTGAGGACTGATGTCCTCCCCAGCTGCATTCTCATGGCTTGGGCTTGCCACGGTGCTCAGCCCAGGCCTAGGGCTACAGGAACTTTCTTTCTTTTTTGAAGATTTTTTTTTTTAAATTTATTCATTTGAGAGAGAGAGAGCGTGTGCGCACAAGCAGGGGGAGGGGCAGAGGGAGAAGCAGGCTCCCTGCTGAGCAGAGAGCCTGACTCTGGGCTCCATCCCAGGACCCTGAGATCATCACCTGAGCCAAAGGTAGACGTTTAACTGACTGAACCTCCCAGGCACCCCTACATGAACTTCCAGCTCAGGTGTTCATGATCACCTAAGGGGGTAGCTTAGTCACCCCCAAACCTGGGTACATATGAGCAACTCCTGGGGAGCTTATGAAACAAGTTGATTTCTGGGGTACAACCCCCACCCCCATTTTGATTCAGCAGGTCATGAATCTGGTTTAGAATTCTAGTTCAGAAAAGCTGCCCGGGTGATTCTGCTGATCAGTGGGAAACCCCCTGATCTCGGTCTCTAAGCATCTCAATTTCAGATTCCTGGGACAGGTGTCCAAGCCTTGATCCTATTGGTTTTGGGGATGAGGACACACAGACTGTGGTGCTTAGGGACCGTGTGGGTGAGGAGGGCGACTCTTCATGAGTTATCTGGAAAGAGGAGCCATAGCATATGGCTAGTGATGAAGGAGCACGTCCCTTTCCTTACAAAGGTAAAAATCTGTTGCTTGAAGGAAGCCTGTCCCATGTGTTTTGAGGGAACATAAAATGAGCCACCTCACCAAGTCGTGAGCTGGTTCTTTTGTCACCCTCTGTGGAAGTCTTTATTTTGGGTTGTCATTCCCTGTCACGGTTTGGGAAAGGGCAGCATTCTCATTCTTACTACTTATGAGTGGTGTCAGGCAGGTGCAGGCAGCAAGTAAGAGGGTCCCGTTGATGCCTCTTGGCCGCACAGCTGGGCACTGAAGCCTTGCCTTGTTGGGTGGATGGGGTTTTGTTAGGAGAACTGTGCTTGGGGCACTCAAGCCCAGGTAGAAAATCGTGACTGGAGCTGCCTAGCTAGGGCTTGGGGAGAAATGTATTCCATTTCTAGCTCTGCTGTGACTTGAGCCTTGATTTTTTTTTGGGGGGGGGGGGTCATCACTGATGATTAATGCAATGGTGTTTGATAAAAACACTAATATTTATTGAATACTTACCCTGTACCAGGCACTATTCCAGTGCTTTGTGTGTGTTAATTGATTGAATCCTCATCTCAGTGCAATGTGGTAGATGCTGTTATTTTTCCCATTTGACACCTGAGGAAACAGGGCAGACAGGACCGTGACTTACCCAGGCTCATACCCAGACAGGCTCTGGAGCCCATGTTCTCAGCTGATTTATTGCTCTGGCTCTTGAGATGCAGGTGCTTACATCAGAAACAAGAGACACTGGCTTAACTGTGCATTGAACTTGATTTTCCCTTGTATTATGTCTTTTCAGGAAACGAAGGAGGAGAAGTCTTCCTATAACTGTCCCCTGTGTGAAAAGATTTGCACTACACAGCACCAGCTAACCATGCACATCCGTCAGGTTTGCTGCCGATTTTCTATTTCTGTTTGAAATCATTCTTCATTAAGAGAGGGCAGTTTGATCTCAGCGGATGAATTGTGTCTGTACTCCATTTAGATTTACTATTTGAACCATCTTGAGGGGCGGTTATGAAATAAGTCTTGTGTGTCCACGTTACTCTGACCAGAATCCCAGGTCAACGTAGAATACCTTTTCAGACGTCGGCCAACATCTCGCTAACTGACCACATACAACAGAAGACCTTTTGTCATATGTGACTTGTCAGTTTGAACCAAGTTTCTTCACAGTACAGTGAGATCGTAGATGGAGCCCCCTATCCCTTATATGGCTATAAACTTGTATTATGCAGCAGGGAATTTGGGATTTCTTTGGGCTTCTATATTAGGACATTTATCCTCCTCTCTTGCCTGCTGTGTCGTGACAAAGTATAGTTGAATCTAGTACAATGAAGGACTGAATATATATATACACACACACACATATATATATTGAATATATATACACACATATATATTGAATATATATATGTACATGTATATATTGAATATATATATATACACGTATATATATTGGATATATATATACACATATATATGTATGTATATATTTGGAGTGGGAATGGGTAATTTTTTAAAATTTTTCCTTTCCATCATTTCCTTAATCCCCATCCTCTATTACCCCCATCCCCCACCTACCTCCCCCTGATAACCATCAGTTTGTTCTCTAGAGTTAAGAGTCTATTTCTTGGTTTGTCTCTCTCTTTTTGTTCCCTTTGTTCATTTGTTTTGTTTCTTAAATTCCGCATATGAGTGAGAAGGATTGACGATATTAAAATCATAACATGGTACTGAGTAATACCATCATTTAGTAACTTGGGTTTGGATAGAAATGTTCCTTCTTTTAACATCTTCCAGAGGCCAGAACTCCAAACTGTGCAGGTTTCAGTTCTCTTTCTCTGACAGCAGGACTGAGTCAGCGAACTAGAAGAATGGACGTGGCCTTAATGTGAAGACCATATTTCATGGTAGCTTCGTAGTCGAGGGTCCTTCTGCTCCTGTGAATATATGTGCTCAGTTAATCTCTGTGTGTCTCCAAGAAAGACCTGCAAAGGCTCCACCTTTCTCTGAGCCTTGCATACGTGTTTTTCAAAACTGGAACACGAAAGAGGAAGAAGATCATACAAAATAGTTGTTTGCCTGTGTTCCCGACAGATTTTTGACATTTGGGAAGATACTTAAAATGACAGAAAAAAATATCAGAGAAGCTGTACTGAGTGTTTTCTTGTTTTGGTTTTGTTTGGGGTTTTGTTTGTTTGCTTGTTTGTATAAAGCTCTGACTTTGCATTTTATAATCAAGTTTTGACCCATCCTTCTAAGTGACCCCTGTGATGATCGCTTTCCCCAGCATAACACGGACACTGGAGGGGCAGACCATTCGTGCAGCATCTGTGGGAAGTCGCTGAGTTCGGCCAGCTCCCTGGACCGCCACATGCTGGTGCACTCTGGCGAGAGGCCGTACAAATGTACTGTGTGCGGCCAGTCATTCACCACCAATGGGAACATGCACAGGTGGGTGAGGGCTGCCGTCTGGAGGTTGACAAAAAGCACAGTGGCCTCGAGGCCATCAGGGGACTTGCCTAAAGGCCTGAGAGCTCTTGGCATCTGTGCGCTGTTTGGAGAAGTCGGAGATGGTTTTGTGGCTCCTGCATGCTCTCTCTGGTGTATTGGACGTGTCTAGCTGTGGGAAACAGAAGTACCTGGGCGAGGTCTTTGGCCTTTGGGGATCTTCAGGACGAAACACAGAGTCCTTCCCTCTCTGCCAGGTGGAGTTTCTTTGTTTGGGTGCCAGAGGTGGGCAGCTTATCAGATACAGAGGAAGCCTCAAGGAGTAGCATAGTAACCCTTGCCTCTGAAAAACTGTTTGCATATGCCTACCAGATTCCCTGCAGCCCTTCTCCTTGCAAAAAGTTTCTGGGGCCTTTGAATAAATAGTTAGGTGGCCTGGTCTTGGAACTTCAGGATAAGATAGGATAAAATGAAGAAAAAGAAGATCTGATAAATGCCAGGAATTTACTTCCTGAGGGAAAAAGCAGCTCACTCCAAAGTGGGAGAGAGCTCAGTGGTGGGCATATTAAAATTTTGTGGGACAAACAAATAGAAAATATACTTTGTAGAAAAATTACACAGGTTTTGAGGGGTTAGAACAAAAAGACTTTTTTTAATGCTCATTTTATTTTTTCCATAAACATTTTAAGAATTATGGGACTCTAGGGAGGATTTTTAAAGGGACTCAAAAATTTTCACCTTGGAAAATCAGACTATTTTTCTTTTTCTTTTTTTTTTTTTTTAAGATTTTATTTATTCATTTGAGACACAGAGATAGAGAAAGCATGAGCAGGGGGAGAGGGAGAAGCAGGCTCCCCGCTGAGCCAGGAGCCCGATGTAGGGCTCGATCCCAGGACCCTGGGATCATGACCTGAGCCGAAGGCAGATGCTTAACCATCTGAGCCACCCATGCACCCCTATTTTTATTTTTCTATATTCCCTTCCAGGTGTTATGCTGCTTTCTTTTTAAAAATTGACTAACCTATTTTTTTTTCTTTTTTACATACTTGTTTCAAAAGAAAACTTTATATAGTTACTTGACTATCTAGCAGTAGTAAAATGGGGCGGGCCAGTTTATTCCACCTAAAACCGTTTTGTGAACTGCTGAGGTATAGCTGGGACACACTGGAATAGTGGCAAATCTCAGGCTCTTGGAATTAGGAACCTCATGTCAAATCTCAACTCTGCCACTTGTAAGTTTTCCGTTCTTGAGCAAGTTACTTAACCTTTGTGCCTCATTTTCTTCCTCACTGGAACGAGATTTTTAAGTAGTATCCACTTCATTGGAGAGGGATGAGGGTTAGAGGATAATGAGTTTTGCACACAGTCGAGGCCCACGGTAAGCACTCGGTAAATGTTATCTATCTTTAATGTTTGCGTTTCTAAGTAATGCCGCAATCATCTAAAGCCTGTGGATTTCTCAGTCTGAACTCCTGGAAGTAAGGTACAGGGTGACTTTACGAAAGGTATCAGTGTGTTGGAGATTTTTTTACAAAGTATTTTACTTTTTTTTCTTTGCATATACATTTCAGTCCTCCTTGCCCCTCACCTCCTCCTAGGAGTGTCTTGGGGTACAAAGAAGGAAGTAAATAAATGCCATCACCATGGTTTAATATCCTATCTTACACTCTAGCTTTTTGCTTTTTTAACCAGCATGATCAGCCCAGTACTACCTCCATTTTCCTCTCTGTTTTGTTTTGTTTTGCCTGGTCCTTCTCTCGGCACCCCCTCCCCGCCCTTCCAAAAAGTCCTTCATCCCTTACATATTTGCCCTCTCAAAATCTGGTCCTGGAGGCATGACCTATTCCCTTCTTGGGTGGTTTTGCTGCTTTCTCTTCCTGAGACTCGTGCTCCGTGGAACTCCCCGTGGGTCAGCTCTAACTCGGGAGAGGGCAGTGGGGTGCATTAGGGAGATGTACCCTCCTTGGGGCTGCTCTGGCCCTGAGCACTCCCTGCTTATGGTCCTCCATGAGACAGCTTTGGTTTTGGGCCCAGTCGCTCCTGATTGGGAACATTTCCATTTTGGGAGAGCGTCTGTGATTGACTAGGACACGTGTCCAGCACATCCGTAAAGGGCATAGTTGCTCCTTCTACAGTGAGATGGTGGAGAGTGCATCTTACAGACAACCATAGCTAAAGCCATGGTGTACTGTGCATCAGGCACTGGGCTCAACACTTTGCTTTTTTTTTTTTTTTTTTTGGCACCTTTATGAGACATAATTCATACACCATAGATTTCACCCATTTGAAGTGTCCAGTTCAGTGGGTTTTAGTATATGCATAGAGTTCCGCAGCTATCATGACCTTCAGTGTTAGGTCATTTTCATCACCCCAGAAAGAAACCCCACACCCATCAAGCAGTCCTTTCTCATTACTTCCCACCTGCCAGCCCTAGGGAAACACTAATCCACTTCCTGTCTCTGGATTTGCCTGTCCTCCCACGTGGTCTTCTCCTGTGACCTGTTTCTCTACTTCCCATTATGTTTTCAAGATGCATCTGTGTTGTGGCGTGTATCAGCACCCCATTCTTTTTTACTGTCAAATAATAGTCCATTTTATGGATCTACCATATTTTACGATCTCTTTCATCAATTGGTGGACTTGTGAGTCCTTTCCACTCTTTGGCTATTATGCATAATGTTCCTGTGAACATTCTGGTCCATCTTTTTGTGTGGACACGTGTTTTCATTTCTCTTGGGCGGATACTTCAGAGTGGAATGGCTGGGTCATGTGGTAACTCCGTGTTTAACATTCTGAGGACATGCCAGACTGTTCTCCAAAGCGGCTGCATCATCTTACAGCCCCACCAGCAGTGTAGGAGGGTTCCAGTGTTTCCACATCCTTGCCAACACCTGCTCCCGCCTGTCTTTTTCATGACAGCCATCCTATTAGGTGTGAAGTGGAATCCCATGAGTTTTATAATTGTAGTTCTTACATTTAAGTCTATGATCCGTTTTGAGTTAATATTCGGGTCTCGCGTAAGGAAGGGGTCCAGCTTCAGTCTTCGGCACTTTGTTGAAAAGACTTTTCTTTCTTTCCCCCGTTTCATTTCATTTCATTTCTTTCCCCCATTGAATTGTCAGGCCATTCTTCTCAAAATTCAATTGACCGTAAATGCAGGGATTAATTTCTCTACTCGTTCTGTTCCATTGATCTGTATGTTCATCCTCGGGCCTCGTGTTATATTGACTTACTACAGCTTTTTGGCTAAGTTTTGAACTGGGAGGTGTGAATCCTCCAACGGAGGTCTTTTTCTAGATTGTTTTGGCTACTCTGGGTTGTTTGCATTTCCATATGAATTTTAGGATCAGCTTGTCAATTTCTGCAAGAAAGGCAGCTGGTATAATTACAGGGATTATAAAGTATGTAAATCAATTTGGGGCTCTTGCCACCTTACCAGTATTAAATCTTTGAACATGGGATATTGTCCATTTATGTCCATTAAATCTTAATGGATTTCTTTCAAGTGTGTTTTAAATCATTTTCAAAGCATAAGTTATTTATTTTTTTAGAGGAAAGTGGCAGAAGGCTTTTTAAAGATTGATTTATTTACTTGAGAGAGAGAGTGGAACGGGGGGAGAGACAGAAGGAGAAAGAGAGAGAATCTCAAGCAGACTCCACGCTGAGCATGGAGCCCGACGTGGGGCTCCATCCCATGACGCCCGGGATCATGACCTGAGCCGAAATCGAGGTGGGTGCTCAACCAACTGAGCCACCCAGGTGCCCCAAGTTTTATATTTATTTTGTTAATTTATTCCCTGATGTCTTATTCTTTTGGGCAGCATTGGAAGTAGAACTATTTTTTGATTGTTCGTTGCTGGTATATAGAACTACAACTCCTATTTTGTACTGACCTTGTTTCCTGCAGCCTTGCGGACCTGTTTATTCAAACAGTTATTTCGTGGATTCCTTAGGATTTTCTACATACACGATCATGTTGTCTGCAAATAGAGACAGTTGTGCTTCTTCCTTTGAAACTAATCTTGATGAGTGCCTTTTTAAAAAATTTTTTTCTGCCTGCGAGCCCTGGCTAGCCCTTCCAGCACAGTGTTAAATGGAAGCTAAGAGAACAGACACTCTGGTCTTATTTCTGACGTTAGAAGAAAGCATTCCGTCTTTCCTCATTAAGTATGATGCTAGTTACGGGTTTTTCCTAAATATCCTTTATCAGTTTGAGGAAGTTCTTTTTAGTCCCAGTCTGCTGAGTGTTTTCATCGAGAAAGGGGGTCAGATTGTGTGGCACTTACTGAGATGGTCCGGTTGTTTTGTCCTGTCCTTCGTTCTATTTTGGACATTCAACCAACCTCATTCTTGGGATGAATCCCACTTGTTCACAATCATCTTCATATGTTGATAGACGTGGTTTGCTAGTATTTCATTAAAGAGTTTGCCTATCTTCATAAGAGATACTGGTCCATAGTTTTCTTCTGAGTCCTCGTCCGGTTTTCATGCCAGAGTAATTCTGCTAGCCTCATAGAGTCAGTTGGGAAGTGGTCCGTCCACCTCTGTGTTTTGGAAGTTTGTTGGTGTTAATTCTTTATGTATTTTGTAGAATTCACCAACGAAACCACCTGGGCTTTTCTTTCTGAGACATTTTCAAAGTACTAATTCAGTCTCTTATGATAGGTCTCTTCATATTTCTGTTTCTTCTTGAGTTCGTTTCAGTCATTTGTGTCTGTTCTAGGAATTTGGCCATTTTATATAAATTATCTAATTGGTTGGCTTGCAGGTTGTTCATAGTTTCCCCTTCTAGTCCTTTCTGTCTCAAGGTGAGTAGTAATGTCCTCTCTTTCATTCCTGATGTTAATCCTTTGAGTCTTCTTTATTTGTTTCCTCAGGCAGTCCAGCTAAACATTTGTCAGTTTTATTGATATTTTCACAGAAACAGTTTTTGATTTTGTAGGTTTTCCTCTGTTGGCTTTTCTGCTATTTCATTGATTTCCCACTCTGTACATTATTATTTC